GCCACAGTTACTTACAATAATACTTTTACTGAAAATAACACTCTAACTTGTAGTTTTTAGCCCGTTAAATTAATGGAAAAAAATAGTTGAGAGAGTTAAGTACAACACACTTATAGAATACTATAAACGTTGCGAATAACCTTAAGCCATAATACGTACTCGATCTATGGAGTTAGAAAAATAACGCGTTATTATACTTCCAGGCACAAACTCAAATAGAAGATTATGCAGATCACTAAGCTAATCAGAAATCTAATGAGCAGGATTACATTATCTAATATTTGGGTTATGCAGTTAGAACTTCTATTGTTAGGCAATTATAACTCCCGTCACTAGAATTAATATAACTAGTTGTTAAAATATAATAAAACATTGTTTATCGATAAAAGATTGTTGTGATTGCTGCTGAGGATGAAAATACTGTTAATTGATGGTTAATCAAGAAAATACAGATTTATTTTACTCATAAAAGAGGAAAAATTAATTTCCAAGATAAACGATAAGTAAACATTGGGAAGTTATGATGAGCAGTGTCGGAAATCTCAAAACAATACGTGTTAACTTCCCAAAACTGGCTACTTGAGCGAGAAGACAAGACTCGAATAAGAACTCCATATGGTTACCGAATCCTGTGTATAAATACTGGTATAATGAAGCGGCCTAGATTAGACAACCATTGAAAACCTGGAGGGTATAGATATCTTCAACTCTTCAACAATGTGTACTAACAACCCTGGAAAGGTGATGGAAACCAAGACATTCAGTCTTGAGTGAGAACATTTAACCTCCAGACCACTGAGCGTTCATCCAATAGTATACAAGTGGCTCATGATTTCAATCAAATTCAACAATCACCACAACCTTATACGGATAATTATCGTGTGAGGAAAGCACTAACCAAAGATGATGGAAGATGGTTTTGCAATATTGTGAAGTGAGTGGAGTTAGAAATGTGCACCGCTTCATGATTTCAATAGAATTCAACAATTGCTACAACCACGTAACAATATGAAAAATAATTATTAAATACTATAGGCTAGTTCAATAATACTTTCACATGTTCTACGTTACTTATGGTTGACTGACTGACACATAGTATTTATTAATGGAAATAACAACTAAAACAAAAGCTACTGTGATTGTTTGCTGCATAGGTGTCCAAACCATGTTTTGAAAAAAATGTGGGCATTGGATAAATGTTATTCATTATTATTGGAAATTTGTATTTTCCAGGAAACAAAACAAAATTGTTTACAAAATTCCAGCTTGCGTGATGAATATTTGCTACCTACTGTGTGCTTAAAAATAAAATAATCAACATACATTTGGACTGGATGCTTGTATTAGTTACACATGGGAAGAGAATATTAAATTTACGGTCATATAGCATTTATGCACATCAAATTCATTAATTTATATATAGTTCAAGGTCAGGCAAAAACTATTACCAGTCTGAATAAGTTCTATCATAATAAAAACAAAGATTATAAATGGATTAAGATTGTTTGTTGTTGCTGCTATCAATAAAAGTATCCACAATGATCATCTTTGTTATTATAATAAGATAAGATATGAACGGAAATTATAGACAGAAGATTGATTTTTGAGAAACTGTTGATTTACAGTCTAAATCAACTATATTGAACACGTATCTAGTAGTATTAAAGGAAGATGGAATTCCGTTAATAATGGAATTCTGTGATACCACTATGGGTTGTACAGTTACATTCATTGAAATTTTCTTGACTATACACAATGTTTGCAGGTACATCCTATTAAGAAGTTTACGATCAAACTGCCTTATCAACTGAGACACATTTTAGGGAACTTTCCACTTAGAATCCAATAACATTTGGAAGTAATAACAATTTTTTTCAGATATCAAATATATTTCTATACGCATTTTGAATATGTAATTAGATTTGTATATCATTTATACGTAGAATGTTAAGTGAATATAAAACTGAATTGATTAGCATGTAAATTAGACAGTAATTTTAGACTTGGAAAATAATATAGCAGCTTAAAATTCAAACAAATTTTTTGTGAAGAAAGCTTAACGAAGTTCACAAAGTATTTTGGAAAAAAACAAACAATAGATTTTCATTGAGAACTTGGTATACATAGACAAATTATAGATTGTATAATGAATGACTCTGTTCACTGGCCTCATTTTTACAAATCAACATGCAAATGATTTTGTCGATTAAACCTGATGTTTTTTTTGAAACCATGAATCGATCAATGTTAGACCACCATTAGAAACCTGAAAGCACTGGACGGTCGTTTCGTCCCGGTATGGGACTCCTCAGCAGTGCGCATCCACGACTCCTGCATCCCGCAGGATTCGAACGCAAGACCTTCGGTATTGTGCGCGAACGCCCTAACCGTTAGACCACTGAGCCGGTATCTAGTGGTGTTGATGTCTAACTTGATAAAATTCACGGAGTTGCGCAACCTCATACACAGTCTTCGGTAGACACTGCCTACACCCGAACAGGTTCAACTTCACTGGCCACGTCTTCCCACTAGAACTCGGAGAAGATTCCTCACGAAGCTAGTCACTAGTGAGCAATGTAAACCTGATTTACTAGATATTTCAAATTAACGATTTCAGAATTGTTATTTGCGTTTGAATCCTACGAAAATCTGAACTGATATTTATTTTAACTGTTACTATAATAACAAATTAGTAAAATAATGTTCCATATTGCTAACATGCCTATTAGGATTTAATACCCATGTATCATTTACATAGACTCATATTCCGTTCCTAATAAAATATGAATAAGACCAGGATTGATAGATTAATTTATTCAATTCTTTTTTCTAATCTTCGCTTTCATAGTGATATGGAAGATACAAAACTATCCAGAATTATAAAAATTGTATTCACTTGATATTATGGTCTGAATCATTTTAAATATTGACAGTATTATTAATCTGGAGCTTATCACAACAGGTGAACACTTTAGTTCACTGATTGTCATGTTCCAAAACCTTAAAGCATACAAGGATACAAATAGAAGAGAAAGAGCAATAATTTGCTGTTTTAATTTATGGATATTTGGTTTATATCGAGTGTGTCAAGCTTACGTACTCACAAATGTCAAGCTTTTTGTACCTCAGTACGGACAGCTTGTTTTAACATAACTTTTTCCAAAATCAGTAGATAGTTCCAAAACTCATTCGAGTAAATCCAATCTATTCGAGCTTAGAAAGAATTCAGAGATTGGTTTCTTACTAATTACTCTTATCAGATAATAGAATTCAACTTTTTTTAATCGTTATTTGGATAGCGATTTGCACAAAAGAAGTTCAGATTACATTATAAGTTGCTTTGTGCTACTAAATATTGTTCAAATCATAGATCAAAGCACTAAAAACGAGGAAATATTAGGCTGTCATTTCAGATTAGGATTCAGTAACGTAAACACCAATGTTTTTCTGACAGATCTAAACCGATACATTCAAAATTCGCGCGAAAAATGTTAAAGTTTTACTAGTCACAGATTTAGTTGTCATTGTCGTGTAGTTCAAGGTTATTTACTCGAAAGATAATCACCAAGCGGCCTACCTGTACGCATCGCATTATCAATGATATCAAACTACTTACCATAACAAATCCATTTGTATTAAAAATTATCATGCGGACGATTAGTAACAGGATTATTAATTTCATTGTGGCTTGAGAAAGTGTATAATTGTTCTACATTTTACTGAGGGTCTTAACTATTTTTTTTTCATTCACGATGTGAAGTTTCTTGTTCAGTAACATTAAAATAAAATTAAAAATACTTTTTATTCGTAACGAGAACTCGAAACAAAATGAATCTTCGATCCATCAAAATATTTCATGCACTTTTTGAAAGTCATAATTTCCAGTAAATAAAGTTTTCCTACTGAATGAATAATTTTAGTTAGGTTCGATTTATATATTGCTTGAACGATAGTGCAATGTCAGTGCAATATAATTAATGACTGTAGTCAACGCCTTCATAAAATAATAAAGAATAAATTTAATCCATAGAAATATTGTAATATAAAACCAATAATCCGCTTAAAACGATGCAGACAGATAAAATTACAGTAACTGAAATGGAACAATTTCCTCAAGTATTCATTTACCAGAGGTTTCAACATCTGATAAGAACATTGGGAAAAACTATTTGAATTTTAAAAATGTGCTAAACCTTAAAATGTAATGTAATGAACCGCCAAGCAATGCCTTCAGAGATTAAAAGTTATTTTGGAAACACCTATTTTTCGAAAAATATTTTACGTATGCTAGTGTTCCATTAAAATATTTGCGTTGATTTATCTAGATCAAAAATGACACCAAGCCGTCAATTAAAATACTGATAACAAGTCAATTGTAAACCAGTCCCTACTAAGATAATAAACCAGAATGTAATGAATAGGAAAATACTTTTGAATTACCTTTGGTATTCGTGAACCAAGCTCGGCATAACACAAAGCGTTTAAGAAAGCCGTTATACCAGCAACTAAGTACGATAAAAAAGTAGATGGCCCAGATTTGTCACGGATCACTGTACCAGTTAGGACATAAATACCTGCTCCTGCCATGTTTCCTAAAAATAAGATATGTGAAGTTGAGGTTTATTGTATTACCTATACCCAAAAGGGTAAGATCGAAAGCTGTCAAACATCTTTTTAAAGGAGTATCTAAGTTATCACGATCAAATCTGCGCGATCTTTTCATGGAATCCCATACTCTTTTCAAGTGAGACTTTGCAGTTTCTGCCATCAATAGGAATTTCACATACTGGGAAATTAGTACATCGATACAAAATCCAAAGCAAATGTAATCGTTAGGTCCGAGTAATCCTACTTAATGGAAGGCAAGAAAATGATTGGTCGGTAAGAGAACAATGTTAAGAGGTTAAGTAAGCATTTCTAAAAAGCATTAATTCATGAAGCTTATATAAAGGCATTAGAATAATCAGGATGTCTTGATGTAGAGTTTTGTTTTATGAATTGGAAACTACACGCGAAATTTCAAACAATGACGTTACTTTCTCTAAAATCAAACAGTGTGAGTAGTCTAATGACATACGTAGGTATCTCTAATTAGAGGTATTTTTGATTCGAAAACTATGTTTACTATGATTTCACGCCTAGTTTTAATGTGAAATGCGTTTACCAATCCAAAAAGTTCATTCAAATCACATTGAAGCAATCTTTGTTCATTCTATTACTCAACAAGGCAGAACACAATAGTGAGATTGGCTATATATCTTTTTAGGTTCCTTGACCCGTTTTAGTCATTTATGTATCTTAAATTTTATGAAATGACCTAACTAGGTTCCTAGTAGAGTCCTAGAACTAGTGGCAGTTTGTCGATTAACAGGACCATAATACTCTCTTTCCTCTGCCAAATAAAAATAAATACTAACTTAAAATTTTATTTTGGTGACCATAAAAGCGTATTTTCCCAAAACGTTTGGTCAAACATATCTGTGGTTAGTACTAGAAGTTTTCTTACCCCGTAGGTTGTAATGGTCAGCTATCAAAATCGAGTCATCAAAAACACATTTGACCTTCGGTTTATTAATGTTTTCCGAGCTTTTTTAAATTTAGTGCCAATTTAGCAAGTATCTAACCAATTTTGCGCAACAATACTCGCTAGCCATCCATAACCAACATACTACCCTACTATGTGCGTTGTCTGAATATGTTACTCCATATTATCAAAGTAAATGGAGTTGATCAGGTGTGATAATAGTGATATAAGTAATATAGAGAAATATAATGTAACAATGCTTCTCGAAAATGATCTAAATTCTCTATGAGACAGTGTTTTACGAGCGAATATTTTCTCCGCAAATGTATACATTAATGTTTTGTAAAAGCAGGTTTCGAATTGATTAGAAAATGCCTGGCAAAGGGAAAAAATATGGTTCAACTAAGGCTGTCCACGTAATTTTCAAGTGCTCACTTGAACGAGGCATTTTTATGATGTAGACGGTTATTAGTGCTGGCCACACTGATCAGCATATCAGTCTCTTATAGGCAGTGGGATAGCTTTTTCGCCCAAAAGGCTATGTATGCTGGCAAACGCCTATCTAATATCCCTTATTTAGACTATTTTTTGTCAAACAGTCTGTCAGATCTTACTCAAATTCGAATTCATCTCAATAAACAACTATTTCACCTACTCAGCATATATATTAGGGGAAATGGTTTTTAAAGTAGCTTACCATTAAGAAATAAGGATGTTTATAGAACATTTTGATTCTTTTTAAGCGAGAAATGCTAGTTGATACATGGAGTTCGTCATCCAAATGTACTACAAAATCCTATAACCGTTTATTTGTTACCTACTTTTAGTAGTAGCAACTTAAACAAACTTTTTATTCATGTTGTTCTGTATACCGCTATTTTTGAAATTTTTCGATTGGAAAACTCCAAGCAACCAAACAGTATTATTTGTTATTTTATATGGGGAGGTTCGTTGCCTAGAACACTTATCAAACCGTTCAGTCATGTGATGTTCATAAACATCTGTTTAGGAAATTATGGTATATTCACAGATGCATCTCAATCCAGTGAACATTCCATGGCTTTATTATCATAAGAATGTCATACCCCTTTCTTCTGACTAGTTTCATAGTTATTAAAAAATATTCGGTCATGAAAGTGAAAAGATTTAGCTTTCAGAACATATCAACAACACTTAGTGTTGTGTTGGAAGATGATATATGTACCGAAAAACTATGTACCACGTAAAAATCGAAGACTTAATTACTCAAGCAGAGTCTTCAGCACCGTCAACTTCTGAAGATCAGTCCGACAGATCCAACTACCTTTTTAATCTTCTAAAGTGCAACCACAGTAAGTAATATGTCGTCTGTTTACTTCTTCCTGATGCTTCGACGGTTATGGCAAGCATAAGTGCGAAAGGAGCTTTAATTTGTCTCCAGTAGTTTTAAAATATGGTGGTCTTAGGTTACTAGTTAATGTGTATCAGAGATAATTTAATCGATTGCCGCTGCACCCAATTTCTATCTTGATCTTGAGTTCCAATTTCATTATTGCATACCATTCCATCGTATCTTTATTTGTAACACTGCCACTGTTGTATTTCAATCTCGCGTTATTTTCACTTCATGTTAATCGTGTAAGACAGCTTGACCCAACTCACCTATATTCCAGGCTCTATGTTTATGTTGTTCGCTTGTCTGCATTATCTTGTATAAATATTGAGTATAATCAGTAAAGGTTTCTTACTTTCTATGTTTTCCATAACGTTATGAGAATTCCCAGTATCTTTAGGTCGATTCACTTAATTATCAGATACCTTTTAATGACAGAAACTGCCTTAGAACCTCACGATCGACAGAGTCGAATGCCACCCTAAGGCCAAGGAATAAAACTATAGTGGGACGCCTTAATTTGTGTCTGTGTTGCAGTACCTGATGAAGAGTGAATACATTGTGTATACATCCACCTCCAGGTCGGAAAAAAGCCTGATTCTCTTTAGTCTGCTCTTCACGAGCTCTAGTTAGGCGTCAGAGTGTTATCGAGGCCAATATTTTAGATACTATATTAGTTAGACTTATTCCTCTGTGATTGTCACAAGAGGACCTTTGTCCTTTCTTGTAAATTGGGACAATTAGCGTCTGAAACCAGTCGGATGGGATTACGTCCAGTTTCCAGATTCTACCTAAGATCTCGGTCAGTCTAACTGTTAAAACTGGACCACCATTCTTAAAAATCTCAGGGGTAAGCCTATCAGGACTTGCTGCTCTCCCTCGCTTCAGATTTCCTATCGCTTTTTCAACTTCATAAATACTCGGGGGAATTACATCGATTTGCCATTCATGATGACTGGAGATCGTGGGTAACGGAAGTGTGGCTGAAGGCCAGTTGAACTTATCCCTGAAGTGTTCTGCCCATCGATCCAGTCTCCTGGATTGAGAACAAATGATAGTCTGATCCTTTTCTGAGATAGTCTCACTCACAGTAGGATTCCTAATACCAGTTTCTTTGATAATTCTGAACAGTCATCCAGTATCACCTATCATCGCTTCCTTTTCCATTGCTCTTGCTCGCGATACCCACCACTGTTCGCGATCACTGCGTAGGTTTTATATCAGCCCGCGCTTAAGCTGACTACGCTCTTCATCGTACTCAGAGCCAAACAGGATGAGTTTCTGAACATCCATTGGTTAGGCAGATGCTATTGCAACCCAACGCTTCTCTCCGACTGTATGGTTTACCTTACTAGCAGATATCACTGCTATTTCCATAGCTTTTTGGATGTCATTCCAAGCTGCCTCCGGATGGGAATCACTTACCTGGTCGCATAACTATTTTTCTAGTTGTTCCTGCAATATATTCTTAGCTATGCTACCATTACTTAGAACCCTAACAAGTTTTCTTGGGGTGTCTTCCCTACATCCAATAAGTCGCAAACAAGTGCGCGCTTGCACTAAAGCATAATCTGAATCTAAACTTTGCCCCAGACTAAATGGCAGTCTTCTATTGAGCTCCTTCATCGATGGCTCATAGCTATGTGCTCTAGTTGGATCCAGAGTTGAGACGACTTAACGGGTCGCCATGCCAAAAGATGTCTCTCCTTAGGCTTAAAGTTAGTATTTGCCAGGAATAGGCGGTTATCTGATCACAGCTGCTGCAGACGGTCGCCATTATCTGTTCTTTGGGCTGCGACACCATAAGATCTACCCGTGTCTTTGCTTTTCATTTAGTCTACCTACTTGAGCATTGAAGTCACCAGCCATTATAACTATATCAGAGCGCTTAACATTTTGGAGGATGTCCGGAAGCTTTCTGTAAAACCTATCTGAACTCGTCTGAACTGCAGTCAGTGGGAGCGTAGGCGTCGACGGCGAGTTTCCCTATCTTTCCGAATCCTTACTGTCCCGTTTAGTCGGACAGCGCATAAGCGACTGTCTATCGGGATCCAGTCTGAGAGAGTTAGTTCTGCCCTAGGACTCAATGTTAAACCTACACCAGGGAGGTCATGGCAAGCAGTATCAGGTCTTCCAGATACACAGGACGTAAATCGAACTGGTTCTTTCTTTAGACAAAGTGAAGTCAATTTAATCACTGTACTCGAATCGTGTGTGCGCGTTTCGGAGACTCAGCATACATCGACGGTGCGAGATCATAAAGTCCTAGCTAATGAAGCTTGTTGCCCTATTTGACACAAGGTTCGAACATTAAAAGCTCCTATATACAATTCAGAACGATGTTTCAGGAGACCAAGAATAAAGTTTCGTTTCCATTAGAGGTGTGGGGTGATAGAGGAATGCTAGAAGGGTTAGTCGTGGAGATAAGAGAGGTGTAAGAGGGTGTAGGAAGGATTTGATTGTTACCGATTGGGTCTCGTGTTCTGTTACGGGTATGAGGACGGATGTCACTTCCTGGCTGCACACTCCGTGGAAGGGTGTTTATTGATGAACCTGAAGAGGTAGGTAGATTAGTGTCAGTCTTAAGGACCTGGGAGCGTGACTGCAGAGTCCGATGGACAACTGCTTGAAGCCGGTCACACACGGCTTTTTTATGAGCTTTTAAAATATTAGCTCCGTTCTTATTTAAAAGGCCTAACCACCGGAGGCGGAAATCTGTGAGGTAAGGTGAGGTGTGACATTTTTTAGGGTCGACCCTTTCTAACCCTTCCTTCCTTATGAAAAGGCAGCATCGCTGTTGATGCTGTCTGTCAGTCAGTCAGTTGCAACGTAGAACATCGTACGTATATACACAAGTTCATGTTGCCATACTACATTAGCACAGAGACGCAAATGTCAAATCAAATCCCATAGTGATAAAGATAGTAGAGGTATTAATAGTAATGAAGAAGACTAGGGTTTGAAGATATTATTTAAGAAGTATAATTCAGTCAGATAAGGTTAGAAAAACAAAGGTAGAGGTGCTGACGAATCCAGAAGATTAGGATTTGAGAGAGCTCAAAGAATGGATGCACTTGCGCCATTGCAAACGATTTTGAGCCATGTCGTTCAAGGTCTCTAACCATCGATGACTTTCGTCTCGCTGACCCCAACCAGGTAGTCTACATCTACCAACATGACTCAATCCACTTGTCAGTGACTTCATCGGGTGCTGCCATGTTTTGGTTCGGCCGCCCCTAGCTTTCTTCCAACGTATTCCTACACCACAAAACATAGCTCGTCGAGGCAGTCGGTGGTTAGGCATACGCAACACATGTCCCAACCACCTCAACTGATGAAGTTTCAATACTTCATCTATTGATCTGCCATCCTTACCTAGCACTCGTTTCCTAACGACAGAATTGCTTACTCGGTTGTCCCACGATATACGAGCAATGCTTCTTAAACATCTATGATCGAATACAAGTAACCTACGAAAGTCCTCTACTCTGACTGGCCATGTTTCACAGCTATCAAGTAGGACGGAGAGAACTGCTGCGCAGTACACCCGTCCTTTGGTTAGCGAACGGATATCACGCATACACCATAAGTGACGCAGGTTGGCAAAAGCCAATCGAGCCTTCTGTATCCGCGCTGAGATTTCGTCAGTCACGAGGTTATCAGCCCTGATCAGATTCCCTAGATAAGTGAAGTGATCAACACGCTCGACTACTTCACTCCCTATCACTAGTTCACGTTCCGATGAAACCCAGTCTTGTAGCAACATTTTGCATTTCGAGGGGGAAAACCGCATCCCGAACATGCTTGCATTGTTGCTTAGGGTGGTCAGAAGACTGCATTTTATCAGAGTCTTCACCAAGTAGGACTATGTCATCGGCTTATTCCAAGTCAATTAGCGAGTCACCTGGTAGAAGGTCTACTCCTGAAAATTCAGACGAGGATAAGGTTATTTCTAAGAGCATGTCTGTGATAAAATTAAACAAGAATGGAGAGAGTGGACATCCCTGACGGACACCACTTGAAGTAGAGAATTCCGGTGACAGTTCGCCTTAAGCTGTAACTCGACCAGTAGTGTTCGAGTAGAGAGCTTGTATAAGGTTAATGTACTTCTTTGGTACACCTTTCAATGATAGACACTGACACAGAACCTCACGATCCACTGAGTCAAATGCAGCTTTTAGGTCCGGGAACACGACTATTGTCGTGTGTTCCAGGACCTGTCGTAGTGTGAAAATGTGGTCTATACAACCACGTCCAGGTTGAAAACCAGACTGGTTTTCTCTTGTCTGTTCTTCACGTGCTCTAGTTAGACGTCTAAATATAATCGAGGCTAACAATTTAGAAACTATATTAGTTAGATTTATTCCCGTGTGATTGTCACAAGAGGACCTTTGTCCTTTCTTATGGATTGGGACAACTAGCGACTGAGACCAGTCAGATGGGATTACGTCCAGTTCCCAGATTCTACCTAAGATCTCGGTCAGTCTAACTGTTAAAACTGGACCACCATCCTTAAAAATCTCAGGGGTAAGCCTATCAGGACTTGCTGCTCTACCTCCCTTTAGATTTTCTTATAGCTTTCTCAACTTCATGTAGACTGGGAGGACTTAAATCGATTTGCCATTCATGATGACTGGGGATCGTGGGCAAGCGAAGTGTGGCTGAAGACCAGTTGAACTGATCCCTAACGTGTTCTGCCCATCGGTCCAATCTCCTGGATTGAGAGTGGATAATAAGACCATCCTTTTCTGAGATAGTCTCACTCACATTCGGGTTCCTAATACCGGTTTCTTTAATAAGGCGGAAAAGTTGTCTAGTGTTGCCTATCACCGCTGCCTTTTCCATCGCTTTTGCTTTCGCCACCCACCACAGTTCGCGGTCGTTACGTAGGCTTTTTTATAAGTCTGCGCCTAATCTGACTGCGCTCTTCATCATATTCAGAGTCAGGTGGGATACGTCTTCGAGCATCCATCAGTTTGGTGGATGCGACTGATATCCACGGCTCCATCCTAGCCTTATGGTTTACCTTGCTAGCAGATATCACTCCTGTTTCCACAGCCTTCTTGATATGATTCCAACCTGCCTCCGGATGGGAATCGCTTACATGGTCGCTTAATTCTCTTTCTAGTTGCTCCTGAAATATTTTCTTAGCTTGATTATCATCAAGTAAAGCCCTAAGAGGCTTCCTTACGGTGTCTTTCCTACGTCTAGTAAGCCTCAAACAAATACGTGCTCGCACTAGGGCATGATCTGCATCTAGACATGTGCTCCAGAACGAGCGGCTGTCCTCTATTGAACCCCTCCATCGGTTGCTGATGGCGATATGATCTAGTTGCGTCCAAAGTTGAGACGACTTCGGGGTGTTTTTCCTTATGTTTAAAATTAGTGTTTGCTAGAAATAGTTGGTTATCTGAGCACAGTTGCAACAGACGGTCGCCATTGTCCGTTCTTTCAGCCTCGAGACCATAACATCCACCTAGGTGTCTTTCATTTTCACTCAGTCTACCTACTTGAGCATTGAAGTCACCAGCCATTATTATTACATCGGAGCGCCTAGCTTTTTGGAGGAGGTCCGAAAGCTTTCTGTAAAACTCATCTTTAACCTCGTCTGAACTGTAGTCAGTGGGGGCATAGGCAGATACGAAGAAGAGGCAACGGCGATTGCCCCTATCTTTCCGAGTCCTTACTGTTCCGTTTAGTCGGACAGCACACAAGCGACTATCTACTGGGATCCAGTCAAGGAGAGATTGTTCTGCCCTACGATTCAATGCTATGCTTACAACAGCGAGGCCCCGGGAAGCAGCATCAGGGCTACCGGATACACGAAGGGTAAGTCGAGTTGCTTCTTTATCTTGACATGGTCAGGTCAAGTGAATGATGCTGCTCGGATCCTGTATGCCTGTTTCCGAGACGCAGCATACATCGATGGCACGAGATTTGATTTTGACCAATTCGGTCTCGTGTGCTGTTACGGGTATGAGGGTGGTTATCACTTCCCGGCTGCCCACACCGTGGAAGATTGTTTCCTTGAGGAACCTGAAAAGGAAGATAGATTAGTGTTGGTCTTAGAGACCTGGGAGCGCGACCACAGAGTCCAAGGGACAACTGCTTGAGGCCGGTCACGCACGGCCTTTTTATGAAAGGTTTTTTGGGTATTAACTCCGCTCTTGAAAGCCCTTAGTAGGCACTCTTACCGCCGGAGACGGAAATCCGTGAGGTAGGGTGAGGTGTGACAATTTTAGGGTCGACATTTTCTAACCCTTCCTTCCTTGTGAGAAGGCAGCATCTCTGCAGATGCTGGTTGTCCGAGGAAACACCTTACTGCTGTCACACCCCTCTGCAGTCAGCAGTACGACTTCGCCCTCAGACCTTGGGTAGCTGCTTTTAGTCTCATCGCTCTCCAATCGACCTGCCTGGCATGGTAGAACCTTCAGAAACATAATTTGCAGCGAATATAGCTCGGTTTCTCCATCGACCACTGGTACTCTTACTACTCTTTCATTTTTATTGATGACTTAGTCCTACGATGTCGCTAGTATGGTTACTTGAACCGATGCACAAACATACTGTGTTCTATTTTGCTCATGAATGACTGTCTTAGGATTATATTGATTTTTATTGTGATTATTATTATATAGTCTTCCGGTGCCTAAGTCTCGAAATTTCACATATAATGAACCGTTGTATTGTTATTTTGTCGCTCCTGTTTGTATTTATAAGTATTACCTTTTTTATTGTTTTCTTTTTGTATAGAAGATCTCGTAGTGTCTATGTATATCAAAAACTAGAGCTGTCACACATATATATCTTACTTGTACATTCATATATTATCTATGGACTGCAACTTGTTGATTAAGGTAAGCTTCTTTTGATTATAATTATAGAAGTAGCCTACGGTCTATTTATTATTAGCTTAAGTGGATTATTTTCATCCTACTACTTTTACGATTCAACTTTGTTTTGAAGATTTCTTCTTTCGATGCTTCATAATAAATCTGAGTCATCTACACTTATCAGAAATTTTCGAAATCTTGGTGAACCTGTTTACGTAAATGTTTATCATTTGGTGAGTATTATATTTCACTTGTAATATATTCTTTCACTTAGCATTGGCCTAATGGTTTAAAAATGGGTGCTTATCATACTGGAACCGTAGTATACGATAAAGGTAGGTGGGAGTTTGGTAGTCGAATTCTAAACGTTGTTTTTATATTTTCATTTAGAATTCGGTTTTGGTGGACATCCATTTGCAAGTAGTGGTATTTTCCAGACTACACCAATGGATATTGATAGTTTAGGTGAAGAAATCTCATTCAAGTAAGCTCCGTTTGAACTGGATACTTTTGACTTAACGTCAGATATTATGTCAACATATAAAGTTTTTGTACAATTGTGCATCAATCAGCTTATCGTTTGGATCAAAATAACCATGTTACTAAGAAATAAGAGAGATGAAATTATATTACCATCAACACCTCTCAACAAAACTGATTAAAAAAGTATAGCAGAAGAGTGTTCATATTACCTGGTGATGCAGAAGTTCGGAAACATTCGATCTGATTTCCAATTAAGTCATTTTTAGGTCTTGTCTATTGATCTCTTCACTCAGTTGTGCGACTTCTATAACCCTATCCAGATAACGTATGATCTTTTGAGTTTTGTTATGCATCTCTTATTCACTAAAAAAAATACCCGACCTTCACATATGCTTTTAGCACTTCGAAATAAATAAGTTAACATATTTACCGCGTTCTTGGTCATGAATCATACTCTCAGTTAGACGGCCAATGATACTACGTGGTTGCTCAAACCAAAGTACATGTCGCGGGGTCCTAACCTGAAACTTAGTGATTGAAAATCGAACACCTAAAACCACTAGGTACTTTACTTTGTAGTGTGATTATGCGCTTGTGCTTCCCCCATCATTTTGAACCGAATAATGCCAATTGTATACTCCTAACCTTATCAACTCGGAGTAATAATCCATCCTAACGAAATATCTTCATGTTAGTTTTAAATTCGTTTTTTACTCCTAATTATAAGCGTGTATTTTATTGTCTTGTTTATAATTTCCTGATAAATTAATACAAGATAGGACGACTTGGATATCGATATTATTATTCTTATATTCCCGAATTAATTTAATTTATCAACCAAGAACTACTCTGTGTGTTTCAGTGCACAGATCAAAGTGAATATCGTATATTTTCATCACGGCTGATCTGATCGAATGATTGTTACTCCTTTGGTTAATTCTTATACATTCAAATCATTTGATCAATTTCTATGCTTTGCATTTTAAGTGTTTTTAATTCGTGATCAGATGTTACGCGCAATATTTTAATATAGAATTCTTCTAATCATTATTTTAACAGTTGTAAGCATACTATTCATATTATTCACTGATCCTCTTATTCATTCTATGATCCGTCTAGATGTCATGGTTCATTCGAATGGAATTTTCCTATTAGTGTTAATTTTTAGTGAAGTTACAGTTTATTTATTCTCAGTTCCTGTATTATATGGCTCATTTTATCTTTTCACATTTAATTTTACTCACGCATTTCACTTAATTTCTTTGTCTTTTAAATTCAATTATTATTACACTTAGTTCAGTTATGTAAAGGATCAAGATAATAATGTCTTTGTCCTAAATATCACTCAAACACATTAATGACCAGTTTGACATTCTTGATGCATAGACAATGTACATGACAGTTAACGTGTAGACTATCTGAAGTACATATTTTCTCCATCAATCATCAAATTATATATTTATTGACTGTAGCTTACATTTAACACTTCTCCTCATTAAGACATGAGAAATTTAGGTGAGAATAATCATCTCATTTTTGTCCGTGAACGACGACTTAGTGATTAAAGCTTTTTACTTTCAACTAACTAAAATTGTAATTCATTTGACAAAACATCAAATTATGTAGTGCATTACAGATGATAATTTAGAAATCTCCTGACGATCCATCTCTCAAACCATGAACCCTTTGCATCATGTTCGCTATAACTGTCTAGAGAAAGCTAACTTAGAGATTTATTCGTGAGAAATAGTCAAATAGCTAAAACAATCCCTACCCACAAATGAATATTCGATAAAAAACTTTGCCAAATGACTTCAGAAATATTTCCTGTCTAATATTGTCATATTTTTTCTCTTGATTCAGAGAAAGATTGTATATGGGTCGGACGTATTTATCGAAAAAAGCTGTAGAGCGTTTGCTTGAAAGTTTAGCTGATGAATTCCGTGGAGACGCTTACCATTTATTAAATTTCAATTGCAATCATTTCACGTCACAATTTGTTGATGTAAGTGTTGTATGTAGTTATTAGTTTTTATTTCATATAATTTACTTAGTTCCTATTCAAAACGTAATGACAAACTGCTACTAAGTGCTTTTCATTGAAATTAAGTCTCTGCTCGGAAAACAACCAACTCTAACCGAAACCCTATTGAGTACCTTAGTTATTATCAACTGAATTAATGGAATATTTTCAGATTCTATTGGTCACAAAATGAAGTCAGTCGGAGTACCGCTGAATACCAAAGAATACTTTCGTGCCACTACAGAACTCCTCAAAACTCTGCTGCAACAGTTTCCACAGAGATTGTACTCAGAACCGTCTGTATTTGCTACCGGCGCGTTACCGTTAGACCACTGAGTCAGTACACTGCACAGGAGTCTCATGCTAGGATAACATAGTTGTCCAATAGTTCCTCTCTGTTAGTATGATATTCCAACTAACGTCAATCCATGAACACATATCTCATACTAATAAAACTGGTCTTCCCTAAATGTGCAGAAAAAAAATAATAAACGAATAATTAAGAATTTGCTTTAAAAAAAATGATCATGAAAATATTTCTAATGAATTTACACTTTCAAATGTTGCCATTATGTTTTAATCATAACGTTTTATCATGTTTATTAAATCAAATCAATCGTTATGATTGTATATACATTGTTAGCTATAGTAAATAAACGTGACTTTTTTATGTTTCGCGGGCATGTCTTTTCATAAAATCAATAGATTATCGTTTCAGAGACTAAGGTTTTACAGGTTCAGATATACGTTCTTAAGTAAACAGATTAGATTCATTGTTCATGATATTGATCGATACAATTATTATAACGCAAACTTGAAATGAAAGTTTTTTATCACCTAATTGTAATCAGTGCCATTAGAAGAGCTGATCGAATATTATTCCGTAGGTCACTTGCCATGTGTGAAAAATTATTTAACGTATCCCCATCACTGATTTCCTTGAGTAAATGATTCATCAATTTCTTCAAGTAATGTATACATTCACTTGTTTCTTAAACATTTTTATTTCAACCATATTGACTTCACATAGTGTTATGCGATCACATGCTCGATATCAGTGCTTTATAATCAATAATATATGAATCGATTCTAGACTATGATAAAATATATCAGTTATTGGTCGATCAAACTTGTCACTTTTTTTCTACTACGTATGCTACTGCACATATATTTCTTTTTGTCTAAAACATCATTAATGACTATGTCAATTCTTTAGTTATCATTTATGCCCACTAGATTCTTGCAGTTAGCTCTTCATTTCGTATTAAGTGTCGTTGAATTTGCAAAACGTATTTCACCAGTCGAAACTTATTGGTGCGATTGCAGATTTGTTTTAATCATCAAAAAATATTTTGCGTGATTGAGATTCACTCGTCTTTCCTATCAAAACTCGACTGATAAATCAGTAGTTGAAATTCAATCCGAACAGTCACCTAGCAGCATTATACTGTACACATTAGGTGTGGTCTATAATTTATGATTGTTTATGAAAATCATTCATTTGTTGTTGTCTGCAAATACTTTATCGAAGCATAAAGCTTTTAGTTCAATCATCATACACGTTTCTTTTATGGTTAATAAAATTGGTTTATAGGATCATTGTCATGTAAATAACAATAATAGTAGATTATTTAGAATTTATTGTTATCCTATATACAACATTTTAGCTCATCTGCAAGAATGATTAAACTAATTCAAAAGACACGCTAACTGAAGTTGGTGGACTAAACAATGAATTGCGGCTGACTTTGGACGTGGAGTAAAGTTTACCAAGTGGGGTCTCCCTACCAGTTTTGTCCTGAACTATTGTTTCCAGTTGTTCTCATGTCCCATTGATTCTTTTGATGTCTCCCCCTTATTCCTGGCACGATGTGTTCTTTGGTCTTCCTCTTTTCCTTTTGCGTCGAAGATTCCAAATTAGAGTTTGATTTGTGATGAACTTCAAATATTTCTGCAATGTTTGTTCCATCCACCTCTAGGGCCCTCCCCTAATTTGCTCTTTAACTGAAAGTTAGTTTACCCTCTGCCACACCAGGTTATTCCTCATTCTGTCTTACCGACACATCCTTAATATTGTGTATCGACAACTTTATCAATGCTTGTATCTGTTCACTGATGTTTTTCGAAGTTCTCCAAGTTTCCGTTCCATTCAGTCAAACTGTATTGAGATTTCTGGTTTTGGTGTTAGTTGAAAGCTTTCTCGAGTTCCAGATGTTTTTCAGTTGCAGAAATACTGCCCTTTCTTTGCCGATCCGCGCTTTCACATTGGCATCAGATTCATCTTATTTATCATTGTTACATCTTCTTCATATATCCGCCTATCAGGTTTCATACTCCTCCACTCGCTGGTTAGGTATACGTAACATATGTCCCAACCACCTCAACTGATGGAGTTTCAATACTTCATCTGTTGACCTGCCATCATTACCTAGTACCCATTTCCTAACTAAAGCATTGCTCACTCGCCTGTCCCACGATACACGAGCAATGCTTCAGAGACACATATGATCAAAAACCAGTAACCTACCAATATCTTCTACTCTCACTGGCCATGTTTCACAGCCATATAGGAAAACGGATCGAACTGCTGCGCAGTACACTCGTCCTTTAGTCAGCAAACGGATATCTCGCCTACGCCATAAATGACGCAGGTTGGCAAAATCCAATCGAGCCTTCTGTATCCGTGCTGAGATTTCGTCAGTCACCAGGCCATCAGCACTGATGAGACTCCCAAGATAAGTGAAGTAATCAACACGCTCGACTACTTCACTCCCTATCACTAGTTCAGGTGCCGATGCAACCCAATCTTGAAGCAACATTTTTCATTTCGAGGGGGAAAAACGCATCCCGAACATGCTTGCATTGTTGCTTAGGGTGGTCATAACACTGCATTTTGTCATCGTCTTCACCAAGTAGGACTATGTCATCGGCATATTCCAAGTCAATAAGCGAGCCACCTGGTAATAGGTCTAATCGTGCAAATTCAGACGAGGATAAGGTTATTTCTAAGAGCATGTCTGTGATAAAATTAAACAAGAATGGAGAGAGTGGACATCCCTGACGGACACCTTATAAAGTGAAGAATTCCGATGACAGTTCGCCATAGGCTGTAACTCGACCAGTGGTGTTCGAGTAGAGAGCTTGTATAAGGTTAATGTACTTCTCTGGTACACCTTTCAATGACAGACACTGTCACAGAACCTCACGATCCATTGAGTCAAATGCCGCTTTTAGTTCCAGGAAAACAACTATTGTAGGACGCCTAAATGTCTGTCTGTGTTCCAGGACCTGTCGTAGTGTGAAAATGTGGTCTACACAACCACGTCCAGGTCGAAAACCAGACTGGTTTTCTTTAATCTGCTCTTCACGAATTCTAGTTGGACGTCTAAGTATAATCGAGGCTAACAATTTAGAAACTATATTAGTTAGACTGATTCCCCTGTGATTGTCACAAGAAGACTTTTGTCCTTTCTTATAAATTGTGACAATCAGGGATTTAAACCAGTCAGATGGGATTGTGTCCAGTTCCCAGATTCTACCTAGGATCTCGGTCAACCTAGCTGCTAAAACTGGACCACCATCCTTAAATATCTCAGGGGTCAGTCTATCGGGACTTGCTGCTCTCCCTCGCTTCAGATTTCCTATCGCTTTTTCAACTTCATAAAGAGTCGGGGACCTTACGTCGACTTGCCAATCATGATGACTGGAGATCGTGCGCAACCGAAATGTGGCTGAAGGCCAGTTGAACTTATCCCTAAAGTGTTCTGCACATGGATCCAATTTCCTGAATTGAAAATGAATGATAAGACCATCCTTTTACGATACAGTCTCTCACATTCGGGTTCCTAATACCAGTTTACTTGATGAGTTCGGTTAGTTGCCCATGGTTGCCTATCGCCGTTGCCTTTTCCACCTCCCTTTGTTTTGCCTTTCACTACTGTTTACGATCAGTGCGTTAGCTTTTTATCGGCCTGCGCTTAAGCTTTCTTCGCTGCTCATCGCACTCAAAGCCAGGAGGGATGAGCTTTCGAGCATCCATCAGTTCGGTGGTTGCTACTGAAATTCACGGCTTCTCCCTAACCTTTTGGTTTATGTTACTAGAAGATATCACTGCTATTTCTACAGCTTTTTTGATATAATTCCAAGCTGCCTCAGGGTGGGCATCACTTACTATATGCTCGCCTAACTGTTTTTCTAGTTGTTCCTAATTATATTCGTAGCGTTATTATCATTAAATAGAGTTCTCTCGCATACAGTAGCCATTATCTGTTCGATTAGCCGCGACACCATAAGATCCACCCAGGCGTCCTTCCTTTTCGCTGAGTCTACCTACTTGAGCGTTTAAGCCACCAGCCATTATTACTATATCAGAGCGCCTAACGTCCTGGAGGAGGTCTGAAAGCTTTCTGTCAAACTCATCTTTCACCTCGTCTGAACTGCATTCAGTGGGTGCGTAGGCAGATACGAAGGAAGAGTTGGTCGAGGAGATAAGAGAGTTATTAGGAGATGTAGAAAGGATTTGATTGTGACAAATTTGGTCTCGTGTGCTTTTATGGGTATGAGGGCGGATGTAACTTCCCTGCTGCCCACACCGTGGTAGGGTTCTAGTTGTCAAAAGGGACATCGGCCTCATGACTTCCGATGAAGACCTAACTTCCAGAGCTGAGTTTATATGGTTTGAATTATTTTTTCTTGTTAGCGTTTTTTTGGCAAGTAAGTTTTTTCCAGTATGGGGTCGCCAACCCACATTTAAACCCTCCTTTTTATCCGGGATTGGGACCGGCAGTAGCCTCGAAGGGTCTGCAGGCGGAGTTCGAGACAATTGCAACCGGTGGTTAGAAACTTTAAATGACATGTCTCAAAATCTTTTACAAAGGCACAGATGTATCCATTCTTTTTCTTCCCTCCAATTGTTATCTGAATTCCTCATAACCTGTTTTCTCCTTTAAAATTTATTTCACTGTGATGTACTTCTCGAATCA